GCTATTTTTTGGTTGCAGCCGTCATGGTTATTTGGCGGGCCCGGGCTGGACTCGAACCCGCTACCTTAGGTGTATGTGGCTGGCACCTTAGCCACTTGAGCCACAGGGACCGAGCTAAGACTCTAGAACTTTGAGAAAAGAATTTCAGTTATTTAAGCCACCCAGTCTGTGGTATGTGTATTTTGTCATGAGTGGCAGGCCTAGCAAGTGAATACACCAATATTCATGGAGAAATATATTCCAGACATTCTTCTTACCTGGATATGCATATCTCTCTAACTTGTTGAGGTGTCAAAGCAAAAATAAAAAACTTCTCTTGAAATCGTTGAATACTGCTTTGAACTGGGGAGAAAAAAAAAGATAAATACTTCAATAATAAATCCAAGGCTATAAACAACCTGCAATGACCAGGCACTTCTGATAAAGCATCTGCCAAATCCTAAAATTTTACAGTTAAAATACCCCCAAAATCAAAAGGTACTGAACTGTATCCATCTTGGAATCATGAGTAAAGCCATTCCAAAGGACTTTAAGCATTTAATCACATTTTTCGTTTTTTTCTAAAACACTAATTATAATATGTAGTTAAAATGTAATTAAATCCCTCAGTATTATAGTTTAACCTTAGCTATAGTATCATCTAATAAAAATCTGAGAAAATCAACCCTACCCCCAGAAGAACTCTATCCAAGGATTAAGTGCTCTTTGTTTCCTTCTTTATTGTTTTGTCTTCAGTGTTCTATATTTGATTACACAGAGCATTCATATGTGAAAATTTTAAATTTCAAAGCTACTAATAGTTATTAAGACACATAATCATTTGTATATAAAAGACTGACTAGTTAAAAAAAGATTACCTAGTGACGTCACGCCATCCTTATCTGTATTAAAAATTGTACTGCACATATAATTTTACAAAGAACTATAACAACTTAAAACTGATGAGCTAATCAATAATGTTCTAGTGACCATTAAAACAGAACAAAGGAAGCTAACGCAGAGTCCTCAAGTCTTCTTCTTCCTCACAAGTACTACGGTAACTCCTAAGAAAAGGCAAAATAGTTATGTTTTTTTCTAAAACACTAATTATAATATATAGTCAAAATGTAATTAAATCCCTCAATATTATAGTTTAACCTTACCTATAGTACTGTCTAATAAAAATCTGAGGGAATCAATCCTGCCCCAGGAGAATTCTATCCAAGAACTGTTACTGCCCACAGTTTTCCTAACACATAAAGATAAATAAGATGCCAGCTGAATATCCACCATCAGAGGGCTTCAGCCACAAGTCATACCAAATCAGAAAACTATTAACTCCATAGGTAAAATACACTTCTAAGCACAAGCAGTTTATTGCAGCAATTATGTTCTTAGAAATCATGTCATCAAGTAGTTCATATTCTATCAGGATACTTAAAAAGAGGAGGAAAAGAGGGAGTGGGAAGATGTATGGCAGAAGGAGGAAGGGCATGAGGCGGGATGCCCTTGTGAGGGTGTATAACATCCTCCCCAGGTGAGGGGCTCTTCTACAAATGGAAATTTATCCTGGAAGGGAGAAGAATGTAACCTAAAAATTGTACCCTCATATTAATTTGAATAAAAAATAAATAAAAATTAAAAATAAAAAGAGAGGGGTGTTGTTTATCATGAAGGCCTAAAAATTCAGGAAACAAAACTTCAGGTTATAAACATAATTACAGGGCATCAAACACAAAAACAAGTATAGTAGTTAAGTCTCTCCATTTTCTCCAGTTCTAAATTCAGTTCTCAACTCTTCCTTTCTTGTGCAGATTCTATTTTCCACTCTGTCTATGGCTAAAATTACCAATGATATCTAACTGTCTAATATAATAACTTATATTTTGAGATAATAAGTTAATAAACTAATTTCTGATTTTAATAGCATGAGTCTCTCAAACCAGAAAGCTCAAAAGGTCTAATTTAAGTAAAAATGGAGTCCCAAAAGAAGTGAAAATAGGGCATTAAAAAAAAAAAAATACTGGCTCGGCACCTGTAGCTCAGCTGCTAGGGC